TTCTTCCAAAATACTATCTGCTATTTTGGATGTGTCATTTATCTCGACATTCTTTTGTTTTCTAGGATTTTTATTTTTTAAATCAGCAAGTATTCCACGATTCGGACGTGTTTTGGACTCACATTTATCATCCGTTTGTCTTTGCTCATTTGATATTTTGATACAAGCAAGAGCATTTGCAGCTGATGTGATAAGCTTGTGGAGTCGAGTAAAACAATATTTAGCCGAGTGCGAGCATCAAACCGATATGTGTCGAACTAAGCTAATCCGAGCCGGCTAAATAGGCCGAATCTCTTATTTTCTAGGTTTTTTGGAGAGATATAATCCATCTCCTACATTGGTGATGGTTTTGAGGAATTTTTTTTAAATTTTTGTTGTTTCTCAAGCATCACCTGTATGCCAAATTTGGTCGTATTTTCAATGTGTGACGGCAGGGGCAGATGATTCTGGGACATATAAATTAAACAATATAAGATAATAGTCAATTAGTCATGATATATATGACTAATACTCTTTCTGGTTAAAACATGCAAAGAAGGATAATGTTTTAAGTGGCTATGCAGGTGAAATCGCTAGCTCGAGCTGCTCGTCGAGACGTTTTTGAACCATATAGCTTAGAGCTTGTGTAATCTCAATTTTACTGGTAAATAAAAAGTGAAAAATTCATAACCTATAGCCAACCAAATTCTGAACATATAGTAGGATGCGATTCCAAGTTTGTTATGCAATCGAAAAACTGAAAATTCCTATGTGTACATGCCAAGAGATTTGATATCTTCAATAGATGTCATCTTCGTCGCATGAGGTTCTCCTGTGAAAGTAAGAAACACAATAATATAAAGATATTTTTTAATTCTACCGTTGCATATTTATTTTGGAGCTAATGAGTAAGTTATCACTTATATTAAATCATGTTGTGGACCTACTCATTAACTTTTGGCTTTTGTCAATCTGTTTATATCTTCTGTTACGGATCCGATAGTCTTCAGTTTTTGTTTGAGTGGTCAATAGATCTTCTGTTATTATTTTGGTTTTTTCTCCAAATAAGATCAGATTTTTCTTAAATGTGGTTTTTCCTTTTTCTCTGTTATGCATGTATCAACTCAATGTCAGAACGCTATCGCTTTGTTTCTTTTTGTTTCCTTTATCTCCTTAATCATCTTACGGGAGAAAGTAATATTGTTTTCGTTTTTCAGTTTCAGTTTCAGAAGGGTAGCCTCTCTGGTGGCGTTTCTCTTCATGGAAGAGGATCTAATATTTGTAAAATCCAATACGAGCTGTTTTGGAGATTCCTTGAGTTAAATTCAAAGTGGTATAGATGCAGAACATGTAATTTAGTGCCGAAAATGGATGCAGAACCAGTGTTTGGTGATGTCTTGCATTCAAATCGATGGCGGTTCTCAGAGATTGAGGTTCCAACACCGGTTGTGTTATCCCCTCTGTAACGTTATAAATTGGATGTAAACGGACTTTAGTTTGTAAATATCACCATTGTACTGGTTAATAACTTTAAACAAAGCGATAACACTACTTTTTCATAAGAAAACAAATCTATAATAATTATAAATGAAATCTACGCACACGAACCCTATAATTATTCTTGATATTTACCTTACTTATAAATTCCATAAATATGTATTTTACATGATTTTATTAATTTTAAATGACGATTTGAATCAAACAGCTATGAGATATTTTACTCCCATAAACATAACTTTTTTTTAACACCCCTCCCATAAACATAACTAAAATATTAATAATTAACTTTAACTACCAATATATTACGACTTATTACCAAAAATATAGTTATTTAACAAAACAAAACAAGAAATTATAACTGAAAATACACCTACACCAAAATCAAGATTGAAAATTTCATATTTCTATTATAACCTACACGTTCGAATTGAACTCAAAATTTTATTGGGTTTGTTAATATTGTTATTTGAACCAAACAAAAAATATAATTAAACCTAAACCAAATCCAAATTCATAAATAACTAACTGGTTTCTATATTTCTTTAATTGAAAGCCGAAACCCATGATCGAACTGGAACAAAACCCAAAACCAATATATAAAATTTGGAAGCACCATAAATTGAAATCCCAAGCCTAATATATTAGTGAAGAAAAAGACGTGCTAGTAAATTTATCAACGAAAAATAATTATTTATATATCTTGCATATAAATTCCATAAATATGTATTTTACATGATTTTATTAATTTTGAATTATGATTTGAATCAACCGGTTATGAGATATTTTTCTCCCATAAACATAACTTTTTTTTTTGAATACCCATCTCGTAAACATAACTAAAATATTAATAATTAACTTTAACAACCATCAATATATTAAACCTTATTACCAAAAGTATAGTTATCTAAAAAAATAAAAGCCAGAAAATATAAATAAAAATACAGCTACCTAAATCAAAATCAAGACTGGAAATTTCATATCTCTATTATGACCTACACATTCTAATTAAACTCAAAATTTATCAGATTCCTAATATTGTTATTTTAACCAAACCAAAAACAAAAACAAAATAACTAAACCAAAATCAAACTCAAATTCATAAATAACTGAATGATTCATATATTTCTTGAATTGAAAACCGAAAACAATAATCGAACCAGAACAAAACCCAAAACCAAAATTATACAGTCTGGGAGTGAAGTGAACCGTAAAACAAAAATCCATGCTTAAATATAATAGTGAATAAAAAGATGTGTTAATAAATTTGTCAACAAAAAGTAATCATGCGATTTCAAAGTCATGAATGATTATCCTAGAGTAAACAAAAAGCAAACAAAAGCCCATGCTTAAAGCACGGATTACTATCCAAGTATGTGATTTATAGTAGAGTAAACATAGATAAATTATGTGACATGAAATATACCGGTAGCTTTTAAAGTGTCTGACCTATAGCTTCTCTTTTGTATCTCTCGACTGTATGTAATAAAATATAGATTAGAAAATCAGAAATGAGGTAAACGTAGCAGAAAAACAGCATGAAATACGGTCTAAACCATGTAATTTTTTTTATCACACATTCTACAATTTTGGTCGAATAATATGTAAAATTATTAAAATAATTTTAACAAAATTCAGAAACTTATGAACTGAACTATACATAATCCATGACAAAATCCTAATTTTAAGGGGTTATTGGTTCTAGTATTATAATGGATTTAAATGAATTCTTGGATTTTGAAATTTTTAGGAAATCCATTGATTTTGAAATCAAACAAATATATTTTAGAATCAAGGATGTAGATTTAAAAATCAAAATAACTGGATTATTATAAATCAGTCAAATGAATTTGTAATAGATTCAGGTTTGTAATAAAATAAAGAAAATAAATACTCTTGCAAATGGTATCGAACAACCCAATATGAAATCGAAAAGTTACAATGATTTGTAAAACCGTAATTAACCACAATTTTTCAAATATATTACTTTTAAAACCTTCTATTTCAAAAACATCATTAACCAAACTTTCCAATCCACTAAGAACGTATATGAAGTCAAGATCAAAATTATACACACCCAATACTTTTTGTGGTATATCACTATATTAGAAAATATAAAATAGAGAACTTTCAAAAGTGTGTTACCAAAAAAAAAAAAAAAGAGAACTTTCAAAAGTACACGTGAATTTTTGCTTACACATAATTGATGATATGTACTATGAAACATATATATAGTTACCACACTTATACGTGAATGTATCATATATATACTTGTTAGTGCTTGTTATAATTATTAGAAGGAACGTGCCAATAAGTATATAAAACCTGGGGTATAAAATATTAGAAAATCCAATATTAGAAATCTAACAAAATAACAAGGTTTACCTCAGTATTTGGTCTTTTATGTTTTTAACTTAAAAACACTCACAAATCTATTCAAATCCAGTTTTAAATCAAATCCTTAAACAAATTATTATTATTGAATAACACTTGATTTTAAAATCTATATTAAAATTATAGAACCAATAACAGTTAATTTGAATATAGATTTTAAAATCATATAACCAATAACAGTAGATTTGATTTGTATTTTCAAATCCATTAAAATATACAAACCAATAACACCCTAAGTAAAAAAAGAGTGTTCTCAGCCTCAGCGTTATTACACATTTGACATGTCAGCTTTTAACACTCGGTTTGTGCGATAGTTACCCCTGCAAGCAGCGATGAAGCCAACGCGGATGATACTTTTAGGCCTCGTAACGACACAATAAAAGCCTCAGCGTTATTACACATTTAGGCCTCGTAACGACAGAATAAAAGCCTAAGTAAAAAAGGAGTGTTCTCAGCCTCAGCGTTATTACACATTTGACATGTCAGCTTTTAACACTCGGTTTGTGCGATAGTTACTCCTGCAAGCAGCCATGAAGCCAACGCGGATGATACTTTTAGGCCTCGTAACGACACAATAAAAGCCCAAAAAAATTAAAGAACTTTGAGAAACCCGTCATGCTCTCTAAACTAGGCTGCGACTTCTTTTTCGAAACCGGTTTTGCGGTAAACCGAAGTTTTTAAAAATAATTCCAAAATAAACCGAATGAAAGTTTGGTTTGGTTCTGTTAGTAGTTTATTTTGGTTTTCAATTTTATTTTCGAAAATAACCGAATTTTTAAGTTTTCGGTTAACTTTGCTATAATTTTTTCAAAATATTTGATATTTTCGGTTCGGTTTTTTGATATTTTCTGTTATTTTCGGTTTTTAATTTTTTTTTGAAAATTGAAACCGAACTGAACCGAACCGAAAACCGAATTAATTTTTAAAACTATACCGAACCGAAAAACCGGCAAAAATCGGTTCGGCCCATTCGATTCGGACAGAAATCCCACGATACTCTAAACAATAAAAGTCCGTACCGCAAGAGTATCCGTTTCAGCATGTACGAGTCGGGTGGGTTCCGACCCGTTTCCAAAAATCAAAATCACAGGAGCGAATTAGTTTCATTCGGTCCACAATTAAAAGTGGGAAATTAATTTCCCCGAAGAAGAAGTCTTTTTTTCTCTTTTTGCCTTTTTCCCTCTTTTATCTTTTTTGGTAATGAAATGGGAGAGATGGAGATGGAAGAAATCGAAGCAGTTCTGGAGAAAATCTGGGATCTACACGATAAGCTCAGCGACGAGATTCACTTGATTTCCCGCTCTCATTTCCTCAAATCCGTTAAACCTCCAAATAGATCGGAGAAGAGGAAGAGCCATGGCTTAAACTCCGCCGAAGAGAAGCCACAGGGATACGTCTTCATCAAGGGATTCCCCGTTAACGACAACGACGCGGCGGTTCAAGAGGCGAAGAGCCTCCACGCGATTCGAACCGCGCTTGAGAACCTCGAAGACCAGCTCGAGTTTTTCCATGTGAGCTTCGTTTTTTTTCTCTAATTTGATTGGATTGCCTGAAATTAGGAGAATTAGCTAGGTTTTGGGATTTGAAAGTCATCAGCTAGGGTTTAGGTTGCGATCAATGGCACATTGATTACTGTATAACAAGTTGCATAGTATCATCATAAGATCCGTTTCTTCGCTTGTTTAGGGATTCAAAGCTTTGATTGGTGAAGATGACAGCTAAATCTTGATTCAGGTGGATTGTATTTGCATAGCATATGCTAAACTTCTTCTTATCTAAGATCAGATCATCAGATATATGAAAGTGTTGTATCTATTTCACATCTCATTATGAATACTTGCATTTTGGTCATCCATCTAGACCAAGACAGAGCACTTTCTTGTGTATGATATTTACTTTCTCTCTTTGAAAGACTATATATGTTAAGACTTCTTTTCTCTATGCGCTGCAGACTATACATACACAGCAACGAACAGAGAGAGATGTGGCCGTTGCCCGGCTTGAGCAGAGCAGGATGTTACTAGCTATGAGATTGGCTGAACACAACGGCAAGAGCTACGGAGTTCTAGATGAAGCTCTTGCATTCGTTGGGAGCATTAAAACCGCCGCAAATTTCGTTTCTCCTGATCAGCTTTACAACTCCTCTCCAAACCCAACCGGAGCAAACTCTACTCCTTCTGATGGAACAAAGTCCAACTTTGTATTCAACGCCTTCGGGTTGGCCAAAAGAGCACTTGGATTCAACCATGTGAGAGGCGTTCTAGGAAACGCTGCCATATTCGCTATAAGCATGGTCGCCATGCTACATCTTCAGCAAGTGGCTTCTAGTGAACATCATCATCTAGGGAAGAAAGAAAACAGGTACCATCAGAGGAAAACTTACGGAAGAGAGATGTCTTCATCTGATATAAGCTTGGACCACTTGGACGTGATGATGGCTCGTGGTTAAATGGTAAAGACCAGATATCAGACTTGTCTACACGTGATACTCAGACTTTGCAGCAATGGAAATAAAGGACAAAAAGGTGAACCAAGAAGAGAAGAGATAGTTCCTTTCTTCTCGATTCAATGAGCGAAAGGGTAAGTATTTGGAGGTGAAGTGTTGGAATCTTCTTAGCTGAGCTAGTGGTTTTTTTTTTGTGTGTGTTTCTTGTTTTCGAATTTCAGTTACTGTGGCTTATTTGTAGTTAGTTTGCGTGTTTTGTTGATTTCAAATGTGGTTAGGCTTTTTGTAATCACAAGTTTCTGAGTCAAGGTCTGTTAGCTTGCTTTGTGTATGCATTTTCTGTAGTGGGCAAATTCTCTTGTTGAGGCATAGTGAATGGATGATATTCGTGAACTTACTGGGTCACTCTAGCCTTTAGGCTTATCTATATTCCTGAACTATCCAGTCCAAGGTTGTTCCGTTCCATCATAGGCCCATTTACTATCGATGTCACGTCACTCACTCTATTGTGAGATTTTGCCAACTTACAAAAAACAACTTATCCAAAATAATATGTTCTTGTATTAAGAAATCGAGGATTCGAATTTCAAAGAATCTGATTTATTATCATTGATATAGACTAGTGAAGAAAAAATTATATGTTTTATATTATAACAGCCTTTTTGCTGTGTAAAATATCCATATTAAAATCATATTATTGGTTTTATAACAATATACTAGTAATAAATTAGTGGTTTAAGAAGATTATAATATTTATTTTATAATTTACAAACAAGTCTATCTTCATAAATATTTTCTAAAATCCCATAAATGATGATAAATTATTCCTTATAAATGGTTTCATAAATCTTTATAACACTTTTATAACTTACAATTATTTGTATCAGCAAAATTGTGGACAACCACCTAATTAGAGTTAAAAGACGCTAACTCTAATGCATACTTAAAGACGCTAACAGTAAGAAAGTACAATACATTATCAAAAGACATTATCAATATCAAGCTTAGTTCTGAGATCAACAATACCAAAATAACTAAGAAATAAGCAGAAAAGACACATTCACACAACAAGACTTTTTACTACCTATACATGAATTCATTTTCATTACTAAGAGAGATGAACAATTAAATAAAGGATGACAAGTACTCTACGAAGAGTTCCAAGAAACCAAGCACATATTCAAGATGCATATTCATCTCATCCGTAAGCTAACTAACTATATCACCATCTCCCCAATCTGTTGCATGAACGTGCCCCTCCAAAGTAGAAACAACAGTACTAATCTACAATACCAAATCCTTGGATAAGATCATTCAGCTCAAAGAATCAAGAGTTTTGACGCAAAACAACAAAAGATTTTTGATGCAAAACAACAAATTCTCATATGTTCATAATGGAGAAAATTTCTTGAACCTTATCAATGTCAAGCTTAATAATGTCATTGTTAATAACATTGAAATGTTAGATAGGATTTTTCGTAAAACGGTTTGGTTTAACGTATATAAAGCATTCACAGTCAAAATGCAGTTTAGTTTGGTCATTTTTTCCCATGTTGGCCACCATTTTTTAGTTAGAGGAAATGTCTTTCTTATTGTGTACTTTGGAGGAGGTTAAATCTGATACATGCCGCTGATGGGGAGGTTGTGTACATATACTCTTTTTCTTGCTGCAGTGCATATGTACTTTGTGTCCACAAATTCATGTATGATGTCATGGAATTTCCTTGAGATTGTGTCCCGAATGCCTTTAGATGCAAGAGAAACATTCTTGTAGTAGAAATATGGTGCCCGTTTAGCTATGCATATGAACGATTAATGTGTGATGAGTTCCGGCTCATTTGGACCCTCAAATCCTAGCATTGGATTTAGTCAGTGGAGCAACTCATCATCAGCATATTTTAGACTCTCTTCTTGACCATATTTGCCTTTTCTTGAAGTTATATCTAGGCTGCATAAAAATGCATCACAAAAACATAATATAACTAGACCACACTTGAACAAAATGATCCAAAGTGAGTTAAACCATACCATAGTGTCTTCATATAAGTTTTTGTTCCACTGTTTACTTTTGTTTCTTTCTTTGACTTTGAATATAAAAGTTTGATATTCTTCTTGCTTTTCCTCGCATTTAGTGAAGATTAAAATTTATATATAAAGATAAGAAAGTTATTTATACTATTGAGAAAACTTTCTACACTTTTTTTTTGCTAAAAGCATTTGTGCAATTGTGAAAAAATGAACCTTTGTTTCTATACTAAAGAAGCCAATTGGTACTTAAAGTATTTGAAAAAGATGTAGAAAATGTTTAAATTGAAACTTTATATATTGAAAATGGTTAATTTTTTGTTTCTTGTAGTTTTCTTTCATTATAGTTGAGATAAAATTGAATTCAAATTTGACATATAATATCACATGTTAATTTGGAAAACTACAATCAAGTCACAACGTTCAACGATATTATTTGATGTAATTGGCATAATCTTACTATACGTTCATGCTTAGAAAACTTAACATGTTAAATAATTGATGTGGTTGACATAATTTTACTGTGTAGTCAATGTTTCATAAGAATTAACAAGTAAAATTGACATGATTTAGAGTACAACATAACTTCAATAAAACTAAAAGATAATAAGTAATTTTAAAGGTTAAGATGTCACTCTGTTTCTAGCTAAACATAGTACTCGAGTAAAATTAATTTTTAATTGGGTTATGCCTTTTTGGTTCTCCATAATCTCTATATATAAACTTGACTTTTCCCTCTTTTCCTTTGGCCACGTCACTAACCAAGGAAATATAAGCGTGACACGTGTTTCAAAAATCGTTTTCTTCTATCGTTGAATTATATCTACCGTGGTCCACTCTGTCAAATGAATTCGAAGCCCATTAACAGCCCTCCCCTTCTTCTACAACCTTCATCTTCTCTAATCCCTAATTTCCATATCTGTTAACAAGAACGTCAATGTCTTCCCATTCAGTACCTTTTCCTCCATTAAGCTTCTCCATTAACTCCTCCCATAAAATCCTCCCGTCTTCTTTTCCCACTACGTCAACTTTAATTACCCCTTTCCAAAATTGCTTTGTAGATCCAAAATTTTTGATCCTATTGTTGATTGTTGTGTTTGTTTTACAATTATGAAAGAAAAGAAACAAAAATGAAAGCAATTGAATATGCTCTGTTCTTAGGCAAAGAAAAACAGAGTAACGCAAAACTAATTATATTTCACTTGAATAACTAATTGTATTTCACTGGATGATTGTGTTATGAGACAGACTTGATCCTCTATTTATACATGATGAAAGAGTGCATAGAAAAGACACAACTCTTAATTATAAAAGACACAACTTTTCTTGTAGAGACACAACTCTAGAAATGAGGGATTGCGACTCTTGACTTATAAACTAAATAACTAACTTATACAAATGTGTTACTTTATATTATACGAGATTTGATTATAGTTTAACACTCCTCCTTAATCATATCTCGGTTTGACTCCAAGTTTTCTTCTAAGATCTTCAAACCTTGAACCACTTAACGCCTTTGTAAAGATATCTGCAAGTTGATCTTCTCCTTTGCAGTATTCTAGTTGAATGAGTCCCTTGTGTTCGGCCTCACGTACAAAATGGTATTTGATCTCTATGTGTTTTGTTCTTCTATGCTGCACTGGATTCTTTCCAATAGCTATTGCGGACTTGTTGTCACATAAAATGGGAATGCCTTCTTCAAACTTCATTCCAAACTCCTCCATAAGTCTTTGTAACCAAATTTCTTGATTTGTTGCTGCACATACAGCGATATACTCCGCCTCTGCTGTAGATTGAGCCACAGTTTGTTGCTTACTTGACTGCCAACAAAACATAGCCGATCCAAGATTAAAAGCATAACCTGATGTGCTTTTCTTATCTTCCGTAGAACCACCCCAATCACTGTCCGAGTATCCTATCAATCTTGGTGTATCCACACTTGTAAAGAATACTCCAAAACTTGATGTTCCTTTGACATATCTTAACACCCTTTTGTCTTCTTGGTAATGCTTCATTCTAGGTGCTGACATGTATCTTGAGAGATAGGAACTTGCGTACATCACATCAGGTCTTGATGTACACAAATACAAAAGCCCTCCGACAATGCTTCTATACTTAGTCGGATCTCCATACTCTTTGTCATCTTCAACTTCTTTTCCTTTTAGTGCGAGTGGAGTGTTAATGCTCTTGCTTCCTTTCATGCCAAACTTATCAATAAGTTTGTTTGCATATTTTTCTTGTGAAAGAAATATACCCCCATCGTCTTGTATTACTTCCATTCCAAGGAAATAATTTAGCAATCCAAGATCCATCATCTCGAACTCTTTCTTCATATTCTCTTTGAATGTGTTGATGATCTTAACATTGTTTCCAGTGATAATTATATCATCCACATATAGACTCACGATCAACACATCTCCTCCTTGCTTCTTGATGTATAAAGCTGCATCATTCATACTTCTCTCAAACCCATTTTGAAGAAAATATGAATCTATCCTTCCATACCATGCTCTTGGGGCTTGTTTTAAACCATATAAAGCCTTGTGTAGCCTTAACACCTTTTCTTCCTTTCCTTTCGTTACAAACCCAGGTGGTTGTGTGACATACACTTCTTCCTTCAGTTCCCCATTGAGAAAAGCTGACTTTACATCCATTTGATACAAACGCCACTTCATCTGAGCTGCATATGCAAGTATGGCTCTTATTGTATCATGTCTTGAGACAGGGGCAAACGTCTCACGGTAGTCAACACCATATTCTTGAGAGAATCCTCTTGCAACTAGTCTTGCCTTGTGCTTGATGTGATTGCCGTTTGCGTCGGTCTTGATCTTGTAGATCCACTTCACACTGATCACATTCTTCTTCTCTGGCTTGTCTACTAGTTCCAATGTCTTATTCTTCTCTATCATGGTGATTTCCTCATTCATGGCCTTTCTCCATTCCTTCTTACCACACGCTTCATCATAAGTGTATGGTTCTTCTTGTACATGAAGACAAGCTTCTATTGCTTGAGCCACCTCATCAAGCTCCACTCTTGGTGCCTTTTCCATGATCTCAGCCATGGACTTGAACTTCTTTGGTGGCTCAGAATCTTCTTCATCTTCATCATTAGTATCAGGATCATTGTTTTGAAGGAAATTAGGACTGGAAGTACTTTCGATTTGTTCCTGTGGCGATTGAGTGTCTTCCATAGACAACTCCAATGTCTTCCTAACTTCTTCTCGCCTCTTCCAATCCCACTTCTTGTTTTCTTCAAACTCTACATCTCTTGATACTTCAATCTTCTCATTCTCCAAGATGAGAACTCTATAGCCTTTGGATTGGTTGTTATATCCAACAAAGACTCCACGTTTTGACTTGAAATCTAACTTTCTCCTCTTCTGATCCGGTACATGTATGTAACATAAGCTACCAAACAGTCTTATGTGTGACACATCAGGCTTGTGTCCACACCACTTCTCTATAGGAGTGACATCATCTTCTATTGCGTTTGATGGTAGACGGTTTAGAAGATAAGAAGCAGTGTATACCGCCTCTGCCCATAACTTGAGCGGTAAGTTTTTCTCTGCCAACATCGTTCTAGCCATCTCCACCAAAGTCCTATTCATCCTCTCTGCTGCACCATTTTGTTGTGGTGAATAAGGCAAGGTAACTTGCTTATTGATTCCTTCTTCTTCACAAAACCGGTTGAATTCTTGTGAAGTGAACTCACCACCTCCATCAGATCTCAGCGTCTTGATGGTACAACCCGATTGCTTCTCCACCATTGCTTTGAAATTCTTGAACAATGAGAAGGTCTCTGATTTTTGCTTCATGAAATATACCCAACACATGTGAGTATAGTCATCTAAGAATAACAAAAAATATTGACTTCCATCAATGGATTGATGCTGCATTGGTCCACATACATTTGTATGTACAATCTCAAGCTTTTCACTTGTCTTAGTTTGAGATTCCTTTAGGAAGCTTTTGCGTGATTGCTTTCCAAGTCTACACGCCTCACATGCTCCCTTCCTGACCTTAAACTTTGGTAATCCCTTTACCAAGTCTTTGTCTTGCATTTGTTGCAACCTTTTGTCGCCTACATGACCAAGTCTCTTGTGCCATGTCTCCATTTTGCTTTGCTCACTTGCACTCATGGCTTCTTCTTCCTGAGCTGAACTCATCCTAATTTTGTAGCTCTTATGAGTCATTGGGATATCCATTATCCTCTTTCCTTTTGCATCATCTATGATGCATCTCTTCTCTTGAAACTTCACCCGGTATCCACTTGAAACAATTTGTGGAACACTCAACAAATTTTTCGCCAAACCCGGAACCAAGAACACATTTTTGATGGTCTTTTTGCCACCATTAGTCATCACGGTAATATCTCCTTTACCTGCTGTCATGACTATGCTTCCATTTCCAATTTTTATTGGAACCTTGATACTCCTATCAAGTTTTGAGAAATAATTCTCCTCCTTTGTCATATGATTAGTTGCTTCACTGTCAACTAACCAGATATCTTCCATCACTGTTGTTGCTGCTTCACTCGCACTGAACAACATATGATCTTCATTAAAGTCTTCTTCTTCGAGACTTAAATGTGCTTTCTCTTTTTTCTTTGAGTAGCACTGATTTGCAAAGTGACCTAACTTCCCACAATTGTAACACTCCTTGTTACTTTTGTAATCCTTCTTAGGATTATCCTTTTTCTGTTTCATGAAACACTCACTCTCATTGTGATTGTTTTTCTTGCAGAAAACACACCACTTTTTGCCTCCATGGCGTTTTGAATTGTCTTGTTTGACACCGGAATTTTTCTGTTTAGCACGAGCATCGAATGCTCCTTCACTTGCGCTTTCTTCTCTTACAGCCAACCTTGCTTCATGAGCTTTCAAAATTCCGATCAAATCTGCCAGCTTTGTTGAAGTCAAATCGCTTGTTTGCTCCAATACACTGACTATGCTATCGAATTTGGCTGGGAGAGAGATGAGTATCTTTTGTATAAGTTGGATGTCTGACTTTTGCTCTCCATGATAAGTTAATTTATTTGCCAAATCAACTAACTTATCTGTGAAGACCTTGATGTCTTCATTCTCATTCATCTTCAGATTTTCATACTGCCTTCGCAACGTTTGAAGTCGAATCAAACGTCTTGAGGAGAACCTTCATACTCTGCCTTCAATGCATCCCACGCCTCTTTAGATGTTGTTGCTGCTGCAATCTGAGAGAATATATCATCCGATACGGCAGTTTGCAGAATTTGCAAAGCCATTGTATTATTCACCATCGCTTCTTCTCTAAGCGATCTTACCCTTGCTGTCTCAGGGGTTTCATCCACTTGTACTGTTGGGGTTCCCACACCTTCTTCAACCACAGACCATAACTTTCTGGTCTTGAGAATGGTTGTCATCTTAATACTCCAGAAATTGTACTTTTCCCCATTGAAAATAGGGATCACTTGATTTTGATTTTGATTTTGCATCTTTCCTTTTTTTTTTTGCGATCAACAAACAATTATATGTGTTTTTTTTTTAAATAATTTCGAAGTCACACTTTCTAACTATCAAAGTCACGATTGTTTGTTATCAATATCACGACTCTTAAGATGCTCTGAATCAGATTATTAATATCACGACCACATATGGCCTTTTGATTATATCACGGCTCTTGGGCCTTTTGATTATCAGTATAACGATTTCTGATAATCAATACCAACAAAAAAAATCTGATTATCAATTTCCTGGCGACAGCGTTCTCTTCTTCTTCCTGTTTTTTTTTTGTTCTTTTAAAAAAAAACTTCTGCTTTCTCTCTTTGTTCTTTTAACCACAAAGCTCTAATACCATGTTGATTGTTGTGTTTGTTTTACAATTATGAAAGAAAAGAAACAAAAATGAAAGAAATTGAATATGCTCTGTTCTTAGGCAAAGAAAAACAGAGTAACGTAAAACTAATTATATTTCACTTGAATAACTAATTGTATTTCACTGGATGATTGTGTTATGAGACAGACTTGATCCTCTATTTATACATGATGAAAGAGTGCATAGAAAAGACACAACTCTTTTTTTTAAGGACACAACTCTTAATTATAAAAGACACAACTTTTCTTGTAGAGACACAACTCTAGAAATGAAGGATTACGACTCTTGACTTATAAACTAAATAACTAACTTGTACAAATGTGTTACTTTATATTATACGAGATTTGATTATAGTTTAACACCTATAAATAGTGATGAAGTCCTCTCCAAATTTCAGTGCTTCATCAAACCATTCTATTTCTTCATTAAAAACACAACCTGCAAAACGAAGCTAAATGGTCATCATTGTTTGCAAAACTTTAAGATCATCTTGCCAAGGCTAAGACTGAGTAATATCTCTTCACCTTGAAAAAATCACTTGATAGCCATTGCGTGTCGCGGATCTTAGCAGCCGTAGAGAAGAGAATTCCAAGGAAGATGTCAGCGGAGATCAGAGCCATAAACTATGTACAATTGGAACAAGGCTGAGGGAGAGGCCGCATCCACATTGGATTAGGAGGACTACCAGGAGGATTTTGATAGAGATGGCAGAGATAACATAAGATGAAATGGCAAAAAGAGAAAGAAACCACATGGAATTTAACTATCTTATGATATTATGTTAAATAGTCTTTCACGTCTGAGTGGCCGTTGATCGGTACACAAAAAGGGAAATCATGAGTCCTAGAACGCGCTGTGAATGTAAGCCTCTCTCAAACCTTATCAAGGTCATTGTTCTAGAGGCCCACGTTTTCTATGATCCTTGACATTGTTCTTCATAAATGTCACATACTTTTTCTAACTTTCTAGCTTACCCGGTTCACCTATCCAACTATCATGCCTTAAAGCAGACCAGGGCCAGTGAAGCAAGTTGCTGGAGAAGGAGAGGCAGAGAGCGGCAGAGAATACACAAGAGTATTTGGCAGCTAAGGAGAAAGCAGATACTCTGGAAGGTCGAGCAAACCAGCCTGAAGTGGAAATCAGGGAACTGCAGAGAAAACATAAGCAAGTGTTGCAAAAAGTACTACTCCACAACGAGCTTATTCAAAAGGTGCTACATAGTCTTACAGAAGCAACACTCACTTAAGACTTTCAGACTCTGCTTCTGAGTAGCTCTGCCTTAGTCTTCAAGACTCTGCTTCTGCGTTGTTGATGCAATTAGGAGCTATAACAAAATTATGTTCTTTGGCTGGATCACATTATTTTTTTCATTTATTTTATGACTGGAGCAACAACAATATCTGCAACATCCAGGACGGGAAGGACGGAGGTATCTATCTTAAAACCAAACTATTTTTGAGCTCTCTGTTTTTGTAGATATTTCGTACTAATGAATAATGAGTTGTGAAGTGTAGGTACCTCCTTCACAAGCAACTGCTGTGTTTTCCTGATAACTTGGGTTTTAAATTTTAATATATAAGATCGCGTCTCTCAACTGAGGAAAAGAGCGATGGTGTTATGCTACCAATTGTGGTGCGGAGAAGCTGAGAAGTGTAACATCAGGTGTCAGGATTATAATTTCGATTTATAGTCATGTTCAACATTGTTTTGAACGCAACAATTTTTAGGTTCATATTTTTCAGGATTATGATAGATAGACCCTGATCGGCGTCATGTTTGCTTGAGAGTTTTATTTTCATTAACTTAATTTTGTTTAGTTCTTATTTTTTTTTCTGGTTTCAGAGTTATGTTTCAGGAATATTTTTGTCTCTTCTGAGTTTATCTGATTCTGATGTTTGATTAAAGGTGTTGAAGAAGAGCGCAGAAGTAGCTTCTCAGAAGAGAAAGTTCCCACCACAATCAAGAAAACCAAAACTGGTAAAAATCCTACAAATTACTCCACATTTATGCTTTTTTTTTGGATTTAACAGAGACGCTAAGTAAGAACTGGGAGCAGCAGGCTCGCCAACTATGAGAATCCTAGGATCATTGATGTCCAAAACTACAGGTAACTTACTAAGACATCACACATGTCATAATAACTATAATCCATTGCTACTTAAAAATCCATGTGTTGACTTACTGTGAGAAAAATCTTTACTGCTACCTGGAACGTAGCTGGATGCTCTCCACCTCCTGACTTAAACCTTGATGAGTGGCTTCATTCATCAGCTCCTGCAGATATATATATATATATATATATATATATATATATATGTTCTCGGGTATGTTTCAAGAGTCATCATCATTTTTCTGGAGAGTTCGTTTTAGTCTTTTCTACAGTCTTTGTTTATTTCTCCTTATTGGTTGAGTTTCAGGTACCAAGAGATTGTTCCTCTTAATGCTGGTAACGTCCTTGGAGCTGAAGACAACGGACCAGTTCAGAAATGGCTCTCTCTCATCTGCAAAACACTCAGTAACAGACCAGGAGCTAGCGGAGCCAGCGGTGGTTACCACACGCCTTCCCCTATCACTGTCCCTATGGCAGAGCTTGACGCTGATTTCTCTGGCTCCACAAGACAAAAGAACTCTACCTTCTTCCACAGACGCTCTTTTCAGACACCGAGTTGTACACGGAACGATCCTTCCATCCCTCAGCCAGGTCGTTTCAGCGTCTGTGACCGTGTCTTCTTCACCCAAAGACCAAGTGGTTTTGACCCCATCTTCCGTGGTAGCAGTAGTCACAAGGAGAGAAAAAACAAATACAAAATAGAAGACATTGACTCTTAAGACAAACTGGCATTTCACCACTCTTATTTCTATGATTTATATATATTTTAATTTTTATATTAATCTATACGTAGAGTAGAAAAAAAGTAAAGCAACATACACACACGCATATTAGTTTTTGGACAAGAAATTAGTTTTTTTCATCCATTGGTGACAACTATTAGTTTTTATTTAACTTTTCAGATTAGTAATGACATTTCTCTTTTAAAGGTAAATTTAAAAGGTAAAGAAGTAGATTTTATTCATCTAAATTTCAATCTCTATCCAAAATCTCAACATCTTAATTTTATACCCAATTAAAATCTAATTTTTAATAGTTACAAAAAATTAAAATTCTCTACGAACAACTGAGTAAAAACATATCTTTCAAAAATACTTTATATTTTAAATAATAATTAGAAATAAAAAGTACGTACAATTATACGAAAATAATAAAAACATACAGTCAGAAGACCATGTAAACCTCATTCAACCTACAATGCCTCACTATATGTTTTTAAAAGAGCTAACTGTAGCAGTCTAAGGCTGAGATCAGGGTTCACTATATGTTTTTTAAAGAGCTAACCGTAGCAGTCTAAGGCTGAGATCAGGGGCGGACGGAGGGTTTACGTAACGGGGTCACGTGACCCCAACTGTTTTGTGATTTTTCATAAGCAATCAACTTAATCTACTTAAATTTCTTTGTTTTGGTGGACAAAATTTGAAAAGTACCCCCAGTTAAATCAAATTTTTATCTTGTGCCCCCAGCTAAAACACTTTTTAGATCCACCCCTGGCTGAGATGAATCAACCTGAAAGATGTTCTTCATGTTTATGATCTGAATAGCCTCATTTTATCAAGATATTGTTTTTAGGTTGTCTTCTCCATTTGTGATGAACAGTTTTGATTTAGTTCATTAGGTAGAAGAATTAAGAGTCCAACATGTTGATCCTTATGCTTACAAGTGGGAAAAAGCCACAATGCAAATAAGTTCCAAGAGATATATAACGATATGGGCTCTGCTCTATAGAAGTTCCACGAAGAATCGCTTTTCAGGATTAGACAAACGATTAAATGTTTAACCAGTGTGTTTTTCGTGTCATTTTATTTCAGTTATAACATAGAGAATTTAAAATATCCCAAAATAGTTCAATTTAGATCAATGATTACAAAAATCAGCGTATCAGGTTTTATATAAAAATATTTTATTAAATTTATACAAGAATTAATATTAGGAAGAAAAAAAAATCATTTTGAAACCAATTTTTTTAAAAGGAAGCAACATCAAAACCATTTGAAATCTTCACAATATATCACTGTCATAATTCTTTAATATAGAAACAACTATTGTATACAAGCAAAAAATACTTTACCACATATAATATCTCTTTATCTCAAACTTAAAAAAATAATTCATTATTATACACATCTCTTGCAAATATAAATCTAATACACAAACTACAAAATCTTAAAAAAATAATAATCTAGATCACAAGTAAAGTATATCCCGCCCGTAGGACGGACCGATCCTAGTACTCTTATATTTTATGTTATCAAGTAACTAAACTCAATATCCATTCTTACAAAACTATAGTTTATCTATTTGATACAGTTTCTAGGTAAGAAACTTTTAAGGGATCGAAAAACAAAATTTTGCAGTATTAAAATGTAGGATAAATTTAAAGGATAATGACATCAGATTTTACTTAGGATTCTAGGTTGGATTTGTTTTGTAAAAGAGTTTTAATTCAGTTAGGTTTAGAATGATTTAGATCTATTTGATTTGATTTGAGGTTAACTACAAAATCTTGTATTATTAAAATTCTTATTTAGTGCTTGGCATGTCAATCAACATTAATATGGCTGACATTTCATTTTAATAGACGTTTTTCTGTGGGAATTAGACCATTTTGATTGTTTTTTTTCTTGAAGAAAAGGCTATACGCTATAAAAAAAAACAGCATGAAAGGAAGTGTTTGGGTTTTCCTATTCATTAAGTCACAACTAATAATATGTAAGAGCCCAACCCAATGAAAATACACTTGAACCATAGTTTAGTATCTAGAAAAAAAGTTTGAGACGGTTAATGATCCTCACATGGCGATCTAGATCATGAGTTAAACCAAGTCTGAATCATGGTGTATGACAAGACATATCACATAATTTCATAACAGTTTTAGTTTAATCATTTTCTAACTAATATTATGATTTCAATTTATCTTAGGTTAAGGATGGGCTCTGGCTTTATCTCTTGTATTTTGATTTCCTATATATATATATATATATATATATACTAGGGCCGGCCTACCGTACGTGCGGGATATACTTTACTTGTGATTTAGGTTACTATTTATTGTATGATTTCGTGGTTTTTCTTTAAGTTTACATTTGCAAGAGATTCATATGATAATTTTTTTTGTCTTTTAGAAAATTTTAGGTGAGAAAAAATTATATGTGGTAAGATATATTTTGCTTGTCTACAGTAGTTATTTCCATATCAAAATAATTTTTATGTTGTTTCTTTTAAAAACATTTGATCTCATATTCAATGTCAAAATGGTTTACTTTTTCTTAATACTAATTCTTGTACAAATTAAATAAAGATTATTTTATTTAATCTCATACACTGACTTTTAGAGTCATCGATCTGAAATGAACAGTTTTAATATATTTAAAATCATCTATGTTACAACTTAAATAAAAAGTAAAAAAAATACACTGGCTAAATGTTTAAATCGTATGTTTAAAGAGAATCATGAACATCGATCCTTCATGGAACTTCTACGTAAATAGGGCTTAGTAAATTATAAATTTCTCTTTTCTAGAAAAAAAATTCTCTTTTAATTTTCTATACTATTTTCTAATATTTTTCTCTTTTAATTTTTCATTCCAAAAATTGAGTACTCTAAAAATAGAGAGAAGTTTTGTTCCAATGATTATCTCAATTTTTTAGTCTAAAAAGAAATATGCTTACTATATTCTTTCTCCACTTATTTATTAATTTATTTTTTAACCCATATTTTAAAAGGTTGAATTTGTACTCTCATATTTTATCACTTTGATGTTTTAATAAAACATTGAATTATCTAAAGAACTGTAAGAAAATAAATGTTAGCCAATGTATAATGAAGTAATGCTTCTTAAGACCCAATGAGAACTCACAAACGATGATGAACCCTAACGGATGCTACATGTTTATAAGTCCAAGGTGATCATGCTATTGTGTGGGGTTTCAGGCCAAAATACGTTATTCAAAACCCATAATAAAATATTCATGTAAGTCCAACAAAAAAAAGAAATTTTTTTGTAAAGAGACACGTATCAAGGTTACACTCCTAAAGAAGAGAGAAAAACTATAACTATATATATATATATATATTTTTTTTTTTTTTGTATAACTAATTTCTTATTTATTATTCTTAATAAATTATTATGTGTTTTGTTTATGATACAAAATGATAATAACGTTAATTTAAGTTTAATTACATGTATCTAAATTAAAAAGTAGGTATGATTGTTCATGTTCTTTTCAGTTTATTCATATGTTTTAATTAGAAATTACGTATAAATTTAATATTTATTTAAAATCAATTTACATATTTGTTTTCGTTGGTATTTAGTTGTACTATGATGAAGCCTACATTCGCTGTGAAGTTGAGGAAGATGATAAGCGTTAGGCCCTTTTCAGACTCGAATTTATTAGTGAACAGAAAGCCCAAACACGCAACCTATAAACATTAAACAAAACTGTAAATGAAACGCAGAGTATTGTGAGAGGGGACACGTGTCACGCTGAGGTTAAGCGAATTGATGATGTGGCACGTCTTTGAGTAAAAAACTGTACTCTATATGTTCTTCTCACTTTATTCATATGTTTTAAAATTAGAAATTGTATAAATTTAATATCTATTTAAAATCAATTTACATATGTGTTTTCGTATGTATTGATTTATACTATGATGAACCCTAAATTCGTTGTGAAGTTGAGGAAGATGATAAGCGTTGGGCCCTTTTCGGACTCAAATTTATTAGTGAACAGAAAACCCAAACACGAAAGCCATGAATATGAAACACAACCGTAAATGAAACGCAGAGTATTGTGAGAGGGGACACGTGCCGCGCTGAGGTTAAGCGAATTGATGACGTGGCGCGTCCTTGAATGAAAAAACTGTACTTTATATATATAGATTTTCAGTTTATTCACATGTTTTAAAATTAGAAATTATGAATAAATTTAATATGTATTTAAAATAAATTTACATATTTGTTTTTTTGGGTATTGAGTTGTACTATGATGAACCCTATATTTGCTGTGAAGTTGAGGAAGATGATAAGCGTTGGGCCATTTTCAGACTCGAATTTATTAGTGAACAAAAAGTCCAAACACGAAACCCATAAATATGAAACACAACCGTAAATGAAACACAGAGTATTGTGAGAAGGAACACGTGTTGCGCTGAGGTTAAGCGAATTGATGATGTGGTGCGTTCTTGAGTGAAAAAACTGTACTTTATATATATAGATATATAACTCTCAAAAGTGTCAAGAAAGAAATCAATAAACTATTTCATCAGCTTTACTTATCTCTCAAGCAACCTTGGAAAGGCTCATACAAGAGCTTCGCATACGAACACATTCTTCCAAGTAAATATTTCTCTCTAAACGATCACCTTGTAAAACTGTGTATCTATCTTCGAATCCGCAAGTAAGATTTCTAGATCAAGAATCTATCTACTGTGTTTTCCCATCTCATGGCGGAGGATAGAGAAGGATTGGTTTGCTAAAAGCTGCTGGTACGGTTCCTGCTGAGAGAATTCGCTTGATGAAGCAGATACGTGGAGCTCTGGAAAAGTTTTCAGTGGATGTGAATATTTCTCCCTCACCAAACGAGGTAGATCGAAGATTGCCAAGCTAGCAGAACAAGAATTTTAATATGTTTTGGAGCCGATGAGACCTTGGTTCCAGGATCAATGAGGATACCAGTGAGCTTTCCCTGCCAAGTTTGACCAGAGATTCCAAAA